GGGACCACAGTGGGGGGGGGGAGGTTCTGCTTCTCACTTGTGTGCGGCCCCCGACTGGTTTTTCTGTGGGTGGATGGCCCCCAATTCAAAAAAGGTTCCCCACCTCTGTCGTAGAAGAAGGGCTGCAGGTGGAAACATCAACTTAGTGTGCACTGAGAGTCAAAAGCAAACCATTAGACTATAAGAAGAATGGAATAGAAAATAATAATCAGAATATTATAAGCCCATTATATAAACAGATAGCACTCTCTCCCCAGCAATACTATGTTCACTACTGGTCACCCTCTCTCAAAATGATACAATGCCCAAGGTTTACCACAGCGGCACTGACCATTGTTGTAGAAAGGAAACAATACTAGATGGTATAAGACTGCTCCAATACAAGATCAAAGAAGAATGAAGTGGATGAGTGGAGGAACCTGGAATGAGGACACAGCACACACATACAGGGAGTGGAAAGGAATAGTTTGTGAGGAGAGGGATGTAAGTCCCATGGCATGTTGTGGATAGGAAATGGGAGGCACACAGAAACTCTGGCAGGGGGAAAAATGGCGGGCCCTGTTATGGAGGGGAAGCAAAAAGTGCAGAGGCAAACAGAGCCTGTGACGTGGGGGAGGGAATGAGGACGGGGTATGGGAGAGAGGAATGCATACACGTTGCTGCTGGCATGAAGAGGAGGTTGGAGGAAGTCCCTGAAATATAGAAGTTGGGCGGGTGGCACACCTTGAGCTTATGTGGGGGAATGGAGAGATGCAAGGAATCCCAAAAGTGACCAGTGTTCACGGATCCACTCTGAGAAAGCTGCTACCAGGATGCTCTGGTTTTTTTACTTACTCGCTCCACAGCCACAGAGCCTCACAGTTCCCATGAGCTCCGATTCACAGTTTGCAGCCAAGGGGAGCCATGGGAAGCAGCAGCCTGGGTCAAGCTGCTTCCCGCAGATCCTCTTGGCTGCAAACGGTGAACTGGAGTCAATAGGAACTGTGAGGTTGAGTGGCTGCAGAGCCTCTAACTAAACAAACCCAATTAGCAGCTGTCTCAGAGTGGGTCTGCGGACCACTTTGAGTAACACTTCATTAGACCTAAAGAAACAGTACAAAAGTTGTATAGAGTTATGACAACTTCAGAATGAAGCAAATAGTATTATACACAGAGTACCACTCTTGATTTAGATGTATGGATTAAAACAAAAGAGCAAATGGAAGTTTTAGTATTTACAACAGTAGCGGTCTCTGACTAATTTTATCCCCAAATCTAAAGGCACGAGAAAAATCCAAAAAAACATAGACATGAAATAATTTAGTAAAACTATCAGATTAAACTTGGGCCAGTTTTAGGTTTAGTAATCCCTACTAAAAAGTTTTTATTAAATATGACAGTGTTTTTATGAGTGCATGAAACCTTAAAGTGAAATTGACTATAAACAAATCTTGGAATAACAAAGCTTATTTTCATTATCTGATCCAATAGAGATGAAAAAAGAAAATAAAGAGCATTAATAGTGAAAGTAAATAACATACATTTTAGATGTCGTTGCTTGTTAAATAGATAAGGAATTTTTAAAATAAGTTTTTGAACTTTACATGTTTTTATGTTAGAGTAGATTGTATTATTTTTGCTTGTTTTGGATTAATAATTAAAAAAAAAGTATTACAAAATATTAGTCCTAGCTTTTATTCATAGACATAAAAAAGCTACATAAATTTGCCTATTTTAGAGATGCAGTAATTAATTTCTTTTTTTTCTAGCAGCATCTGCTCTACAAATGTCTAACGTGCTCTACTATGTTTAACTTAGCTATTAATTTTTGTATATACTAAGCAGGAGTTATGACTAATTTTTTTAAAATTTAAAATTGTTATGACTAATTTTGTTCCTACTCTCAGGTGATGACATCACAGTGTATGGAGTGGTAATGCAGAGATGGAAACCTTTCCACCAGGATGTGCGCTGTGACCTAGAGATTGTTTTGAAAGCCAATTATGTTCAAGTGAACAATGAACAATTAACAGGAGTTATAGTTGATGAAGAGGTTCGCAGGGAATTTGAAGACTTCTGGGAAAAACATAAAAGTGATCCCTTAGCAGGTTTGTAAACAAAAGTGAAATAGGAACTGTACTTGGATTTTTGCTGGAGACAACACTGAAAATTATATTATTGACAACGTTTTTTTCATTCCCCCATCCGATAATTCTCCTCGGAAACTATTGGTCCAATCGAAAGTACACCTTCAGATCCTATTCTCTTCAGGAGTATTGTACATTCAGCTCTCCTGCTGATCAGGCCATGTCTCACTCTGTCAGACCTTATCTCATACAAGCAGGATAAAACTCCAATAATTTCCATTTGTTTTATAACTGTAGCATGTGTTTGTATGATGGTTTGTCTTGTCTTAGTAGCTTAAAGAATAATTTCTTGCTACCCAAAATTTCCAACAAAGGAATATAAAATTCTTATTTGAAACTAGCTTTAAAAATGTGCACACTTCAAATCCACACCAAAACTGTACTTCTATGATTTACCTTTTGAACATTATACTACTGGAGTTGCCACAATTATGTTGCACTTAACAGGGAGTGAATCTGAGTGAGAAATGGGGAGCATGTTAGGAAAAACACAATGCTATTTTGTGCAACAAGGAAAAAAAAACAGATGTTACAGCACTGTGAAGAAATCTTTTGGGCCAGATCTGGTTTAGTCAGCATTGCTCTCTTGACTAGACTAATATTGGAAAAATATGGCTCTGTGTCTCTGTATCCCAACCTCATGTGAATCAGCATTTATTTATAACAAATCCCATATCTGAGTAATGTTAAAAGTAACCTGTTTCTATAATAGTTGTACACAGTAATAACACTTTTAATCCTTAAACTACACTTCTTCACACAAAGTCCTTACTGCTGGTATAGCCATAAGGAAAGCAAGATATCATTAGTCTTTGAGGAAAATCTTCATGGTCAAATAAATAAGCATGCTAGGTTGCAAACACAATAGGCAGTCATGATCATATACACATTATCTTACAAGAAAGAAAACTCTTTCATAAAATGTTTTCCCCCCAGTATTATGCAGGGACTTTTATTTGTTTTTATTTGAAATTTGAACAGCTATGGTTAACTGATGAGCTATGTCGTGTAAACTCTTAACTGGCTACCAGATGTTTTATATGTGTGTCCTTTACACAGAGAGCTAAGTTTGTCATAGTGTTACTCTGGATTTATGTTAGGGTCACTCCAGTTGCTTTCATTGGCATTATACTGGGATAAAACCAGAGTAATGTAGTGGAGAATCATGCCCTGCATTTTAACAATGCTGCAAAACCCTTAGATATCACAACACATCTTATACAAAGTAGGCCTCACCCTATCTTTAGTATCCTTAATTTCTACCGGTTTAATGGTGAATCTATTAATCTAACATACACTGTCTTGATACACTTACTTCCAAGTTTAAAACATCCATTTTAGGGATTCATGTCATTTACTTTAAGGTTGGTTGCTTAGCTCAGTATGCTAGCAGTGAAGAGTAATGTATAGTCTTAGGTTTCTTATTTCTGCTGTGCTGCTAGTGTCAATGCTTCGGATGGCAGAATTAATTCTGTTATATCTCTCTTCACTGCTAGCGAAATCAGCTTAACAGATTGGAACATTTCAGTGCTTGAGAGAGTAATGGAAGGTGAGGAAGAGACCACATAGAAATAGGGAGCTAGAGAGATTCAGTAAAATAAAAAGATAGGTGAGAGATGAGCCAATTTTCTGCATCATGTACAGTACAGTGTATCTTGGCATTAAGCACTGTGCGTTTTTTTTTAACTCAGTGGAGCTCTGCCAAATTACACCAGCTGTGTATCTGGCTCTCTGGTTCCTATCTGCACACAATGAACTAGTATTCAACAGGATAAACTGAGGGCTGTAAGAATTTGGCCTCTGTGGTTTCATCTGTGAATTAAATATTCAGTCTTAGGACTTCATACTAGTGCCCAGCACCTAAGATCCAAGTGCCTTCCACCTGAAAAGGTCATAGAAAGGAATGTTGATTTATATCACTTGAACATGTGGCCTGATGGTGTTTAGTCTTTGAAGTGAAGGATGTTTGGATCTAATAGCTGCTTTGGGAGTTGGCCTGTTTATGTTAATTTAACTTTAAAACAGAGCTTGAATGCTGCTTTTTGCTTCTTTTCTAGGGAGGAATGAAATTTTGGCTAGCTTGTGTCCCCAGGTTTTTGGATTGTATCTGGTGAAGTTGGCTGTAGCCATGGTGCTTGCTGGGGGTGTACAAAGGACTGATGCTGCAGGAACTCGAGTGAGAGGTTAGTATTCTTGTTTTTAATAGTCCATTTCCTCCCTCCATTCATGCAGACATTCAAAATAAATATTAGAGCGAAAAAATCTGCAGAAACAAAATCATTCTGAGCGAGAATATTGTTTAATCAGCATTTGGGTTTCCTATTTTTAGGTTTACTTTCTATTTTATTTTTCCAAAATAATTTGAGTGATAGAGACCAGTTTTCAATGCCCCATTGAATAAAGTGTTAAAAGCAATTAATCTAAGTAAAATAGAGGCTCAAATAAAAAGTAGTTTTATAAATGATGTTTTAAAATGTTTTAGTAGTAGCACATCCATAATGGAATTTGGCATCCGAGTGGAATATTTCCATAGTGTGAATCTCTGTCCTGCATAGAAAAAAAGTAAGGTTTGCTCTAATTCCTAATGCCAGATTTTTCCATCTGTGATTGTCAGCATGTTTCTCTTAGAACTGTTACTGTAAGCTATCTGCCTGCTGATTCGCCTTCTGTTGTTATTAGATGGCAAATGTGCCAGGTGGTATGTAGGTCATTGACTATGTAGTCTAAAATATGTGTAGATACAGGTATGGAATATATCAATTTAAATACTGTAGCAGCCAAATCGAGTCAAATATATCCTTAAAGTGAAGTCATATTGTCTATATTATTTATATAAGATAATTTAATAATTTTAGAACTCTGATGAGATATTTAGTAACCAAAATGTTTACTTTTGTAATTGCTTTGTATTTGGAAATTACTGAACTTCATGATTATTGGAGCAAAGCAAAATATTTTCAATTATTAATTAGTAGGAAAAAGTCTGATTTTTATTGCTTATTTGTACAATAATTACAAGTTAAATAGAGGAATCATAACTAAGCAGCGGTTCCAATTCCCTTCATTACTCAAGCTGGGAGCGAAACATTTACTATAGCTAGTACAGGCAGTCCCCGAGTTACGCGGATCCGACTTATGTCGGATCCGCAGTTACGAACGGGGTTTGCTGCCCGTCTCCCTGGTCTGCTGGTTTCCAGCAGACCAGGGAGACGGGCAGCAAAGCCGCGGAGCACGCGGGCAGCGGGCAGCCCAGACGCGTCTGGGCTGTCCGCTGTCCGCTGCCCGCGTGCTCCACAGCTTTGCTCCCTGTCTCCCTGGTCCGCTGGTCTCCAGCAGACCAGGGAGATGGGCAGCAAACCCCGTTCGTAACTGCGGATCCGACATAAGTCGGATCCGCGTAACT